CTATGCAAGTCAAAGAAAGCCAGTCTCGGGGCTGGGATTTGATTCTGGAAATACAATTTTGCAGGGGGATTTCTGAGGGTTTATAATGCGCCTCTATTCCATGCACTACCTGTGCTTCATCCGGGACAAAATCTTTCTCATCTATCACTCTCAAGACTACAAACACTACCTGATTGTGGTGTTTGTTTACCAGGTGTTTGTGGGATAAATGAATGACTACATTCATTTATGCATCTGTTCTACTAGTATAGGCAGTGGCTGACACAGCAGCAAAGGAGTTAAAAGGTAGGAAATGAACTAGGCTTTGAGATAAAGCCCCATTAATTACCATCTTACTAGAAATCCTCTTCCCTGCAAATCTGAAGGCTGTAAATTAAGACCTGAGCTGTTGTTTTGAACGCAGCATTCTCTAAAGCACAGCTTGGCAAGCACTTCTCTTCCGGTGGCTTGAGGCCTCACGACAGTCTTGTGCTGAAAAGTGGGCTGAGACCATGAGGTCTCCTGTGAAAATTACCAGACTTGTGGATAGCTGATGTAGGATTTAGTAAGCTGCTTCTGCCTCTGTCACCAGGGACAGAGGCTGCCATGAAGAGGCGCCCCTGGGAGGAGAATCTCTGACCTTCAGTGACATCCCTCTGAACTTCAGGATAGGGACCTGGAGTCCACTGGTGGAGAATCCAAGACTACAGTTCTCTTGTTCCCACGGCATCTTAAGGGAAATCATTTGGACTCTGTGCTCTAGTTGCTCCAAGCGTTGACTGAAAGAAAATGTACCACCCAGCATGACAGCTTCCTAAAGCCAGGTGAATCGTAGTGCAGAGATTCCACACTCCTGGCAGGAAGAAAGGGCCAAGAAAAGCTCAGAGTAACTTTTCAAAGAGGACAATGAGGAGCACCACGAAAGGCCCCAAATACCTGCTCCTGCATACAGCTGTTTCTTTGGGGGTCATTTTGCAGCTAATCTGAGCATCTGCTCTCCATCCTTGTAGAATGGGGGTTTGCACAGAGATGTCCAGGAGTCTGTCATCCTCCACTACTCACTGCTTGGATAAGGAAACTGAGGCATTTGTTCAAGGTCACACTGTGTACTCCCAGAGCCCAACCCAACACTCCCTCTTATCTCTCTCCAGGGTGCCCCCTGATAATCCAAAGATCTGAGCACACTAGTGTCCCCTCCCAGCCACTGATGACAAAGGCCATTTTTCATGGAAGACATAATCAGGGAAATCTTCTCCTGCATCCCAGGGTAAAAGCGCCCATATTTCACAAAGCAGGTTCATCACAAATATTAACTCACGAATGAGGAAGACAGGACGGAAGGGTCCCCTTAGCCCTTAGAAACTTTTGAAATGGGACATATTTCTCTCACCCTGCTCATTTACTGATTTAAAAAAAATGAAAACCCTTGTAACATTTAGCATGAGGCTTTTAAATACCTGAGCTCAAACTAATACTCTCTTTAAACTGATAGACAATTTGTTTAGGAAAGATAATTGATGAGTTATTTATATTAGTCCCCAGTGTCCAGTGCCACCATCATTGAGATGAAATGCCCAGGACAGACTGAAATCCCTTAATTACTCTCATATGTGTCACGTGTTGCAAGGAAAGAAAACATAATGTAAAGGGCTTCTATATGTCAGCAATAATAATAGCTTGATGAAGATTTCTAAATTTTTCAAAATGTCATTTCTTTCCAAAAGATGGATTGTTTCTGTTGGGGCTTAGTCTACCTAATTATTCCTGCCTTGATTACTTAACTACTCCAGATATTTCATCCCTCCATGCTCTTATGTTAGAAGAACCAAGACAGCATATTAGTACCCAGCAGACCATCCTGTTTCCTGTCCATAACGGTGGGAGCTAGGGGTACCTGTCTCATGGACAGAGAGTCTAGTCTATGGACCCTCTGCCTGGACCTCTTGTGAGGCACTGTCAATTCTCCATGGCTCTAGCTCTCAGCCCTGAACAATACACAGCCCTCCAATGTGAACTCTGCATTGCCCTGCAGGCATGCTTCCACAACAGCTGCCCAGAGCATCCCCTGGAAACCTCCTTTGTGGCACTGACCCTCCTGTCTGAGTCCAGAAGTCTGGGCTAGGACCACAAAGTTCCAATTTTAATGTCTTCCCTGGGGATGTCCATGGTGCAGAGCCTGAGACTATGCCTCAATGACACGGCTCAAAGTACTAGGCAGCTTTTTACGTTCTTTCTTCTAGAAGTAATTTAAGGTCTAGTGCTAGGGCTAGCTGAAGTCTGGTTGAAGTTAGACATTGAAACGTGAGGACTTCGGTTTGTTTAACTTTGTAAATATCTGTCCATGGTCAAGTTCTTGGTTCAATGAGCAAAATATTTAAGTAAAAGGCAAGGTCTTCACAGAGAGGGAGAAGGAAAGCAAAAATGATGTTTGATTGGAAAGGCAGGTTCTTCTAGAACATCTCTGGAAGTCAAGGGTGGCCATAACACCACCCCAGGATAGCTGGGTCAGCTGCTCTGTGGACTGTCAAGTTCTTCTTCATTTCTTTGAGGGGTAATGGGCAAAGGGCACACGCAGAGCCCAGTGCCTGTCTGGGCTCACTTGTCATTCCAGGGAGGGAAGCCTGCACCCTTTTGCTGATCTCACTACCTGGAAACCAGCCAGACCCCACTGCCCAAGAAAGCCAGTTCCTCTGAGTAATCCCCACTCACTAGGCTTCCTCCTCTCCCCTCTCCCTTCTCCTTTCCTCTTCTCTCCCCTCCCCTCCTCTGCTCCTCTCCTCCTCTCTTCCTCTCTCCACCCCTCCCCTCTCCTCTCTTCCTCTTCCCTTCCCTCTCCTCTCCTCTCCTCTCCTCCTCCCCTCTTCTCTCCTCTCTTCGTCTCTCCTCCCCTCCCCTCCTTTGTCTTCTTCCTCCTCTCCACCCCTCCTCTTTCTCTTGTGCAACAGCTTGGAAATGTAGGAGGGCGAGGGCCGTGTCTCCCACAACATGCACTTGCAGCTCGAGAATAGCCAGCTTCTATTTCCCAATTATAAAGCAGCATTTGTCGCCAGCTAATGAACTGTGGCAGGGCAGGGCAGGCAGGACACACACCTGGGATGCTTTGCACCTGGTACAATCTGCTTATGCATCAGAAGTGACCACCGGTATGCCCTGGCACTTGGGGAGGTGAGGGGCAGGGCAGGGGTAAGGGTATTGAAACCCCGTGGGAGCTTGTGCTCACTCTGCTCTTGGGACCAGCATCACAGCACAGCACCGGCTGGCCCAGACCAACATAGACCACAGTGGAAGGGAAACAGTTAAAAGTCTGTCGTTAGCTTGAGAAGACAGCCTGGTTGGTAAAGTGCTTGCCCTAGAAGCATGAAAATCCAAATTCCACCCATAGCACCTACATAAAAAGGCCAGTTTGCTATGCAGTCATGGTATCAGCACTGGGGAGGCAGGAACAGGAGAGAGTCCATGAAAGCTTACTGATCAGACAGTTCAGCCTGCCTGGAGAACTCCAAACCAATGAGAGATCTTGTCTTAAAGTGGGTGTCTTCTGATGTATGCACACATATGCACACACACACACACACACACACACACACTCTAAGGTGAGGGAGGAGAGGGGACAAGAGATAAAGATCCACTTGGAGTGGCAAGTGGTGGGTTAATCCTGAGGTTTGCCTCTGGGGGTGGACCGAGAAATTAACATGTGGAATGAATTAGAGGGAAGGGTTTTGAAGCTGGGAGTAAACACAGGCAGGGAGATGGCTCAATTTGTCTAGGAGGGCAAAAAAGAGAAAAGCTCAACAAAGTGAGTGAGACCCACACTCCTAGGGAGGAGGGGATGCTGCACACTGTGACCTTTTGCTCCCAGCCCCAGCCCTGCCCCTCTGCGGGGCTCTCTGAGAACCAGCTGAGGCATTTTAGCACCAGGACAAGGAGGAACTGAGAACACAGTGATAGGGCTCAGATTCCAAGGCAGGGAGGGGAGAAATACCTGGGAGGATCTTAATAAGCTAGCTGGCATGTGGTGAATACAGTTTTAATGCAGGAGGAAAGCGGAAGCATGTGATCACAGAAAGCGTGCCCTGGCAACCTGCATGGTAAGCAAGCGCACACACCGTCCACTAGCGTCCAGCCGCCACAGGGACTGGGATTGTGCCCACATCCAGCCTGCTTGCTGTTTTCTGCACCAGTGGAGGAGAGCAGAGGAAATGGTTAAAGAGAAATGGTTCTGGGTTTGTTGCTCCACACCCTCTGACCCTGTCTGCCTGCCCTGCCGAAGCAGGTGGAGAGGTGAGGGGCAAAGCAAAATCCCCTGACATCAAAGGAAGCCATGCACTTCCAAACTCCCCTCCAGGGCTTTTTTTCCTCAGCCTTATTCAGCAGGCGTCTACATGGGGCAGATGGACCCATGGAAGACACACACTAATCAAATGCCAGCTTGCCCCAAGCTGGGAGGGTAATTCATTCGGAGCCCAGTGTTGTCTCCCTAGACTCTTCCAACAGAATGAGTCTGTCAAAACGCTCTGCATGTATGCATTTCTATGCTTCCGTATTGTCTTCCGGAAAAGTGGGGCGGTGACTTGATGACATGGGAATCTACTAAACTAAAACATGCAAATGAAAATGTGACCGTCTCGTTCAGTTCTAGTACAAATTGAAGTGAGTAGTTAAGAACCCTCGTATACCTGTCATTATTCCTGCCAAAAAATATAGGGGTGATGGTATGTAACAGGGAAATGGTATCAAGCTCTGTCCTGCACCTGGAAGGCACAAGCCCAGGTATAGGATGTGAGTGATGAAGCTAGCATCATTGGATGAGAGAGGACAGTGGGAACATAGAAAGGGGTGCGGGGCTCACAAAAGCAAGCAAAACCCTGCCTCCAGTTACAGTCACAGACGGAAATGTCCTACTTTGTCCCTTTCTTGTCAAGACCACTCCAGGCCTGGTTGAAGCCCCTCTCTCTATCATGACATTTGGGCACATGGAAATAAATGTGCCCCGTGCAGTAAAGTCAGCCACCAACACTTACTGTTTCAGAGAAACTCTCCTTGAAGGGACCCAACGCCCCATCCAATAAGCCCGGACAGCAGCCTGGTCTCCAATGTTAGAACATTCATATGAGTGCACCAGAGCCCAGCCGAGTGTGGTAGCAAGCCCTTGTCATCTCAGCATTCGGGAGGCAGAGGCAGGAAGACCCCAAGTAGAAGACCAGCCTGGCCTGCATAGAGAGCTGTGTCTACTAGGTGGCTGCTGGGAGGGAGTGAGCTTGATTCTTCTCAGCTGTCCTATCCAAGATCACCCTCCGCCTTCCTCTGGCTCAGGCCACAGCAGATGACCTATCAGGTCCCATTAACTGGCTCCCCTGAATGTATGGTTTTGGTGGAGCAAGTCACTAGGAGTCCCAGTAAGTGATCCGAGGCAAGGAGAGGGAGTGGAGTTCATTTATGCCCTCCCCTTGCTCCTTCCCTTCCAGGTGCCTCCAACTGGCTTCACTCTACACCAAGGCTGCTGGCTACTCTAATAGGCCCCTCATCCCTTCTTTACAGTTTCTGTTGCTTCCCATGGCTTGCTCAGCCTGCTTTCTTATAGAATTCAGGACCACCAGCCCAGGGGTGGCCCCACCCACGTGAGCTGGGCCCTCCCATATCAATCATCAATCAAGAAAATGTACCCAATCCAGTGAGGACATTTTATCAATGGAGACAGACTCTTCTAAAATGACTCTATCTTGTGTCAAGTTGACATAAAACTAACCAGCACACCTCCTCTGAGTCTGGGATCTGGCAGCCACGAAATCCTCTCGTTTTGAGCTTGCGCACAGAAATGATGTCCAGTTTGTTTGCTTTCCCTGGGGCTGCCTGCCTTCCATTCTCCTGTAAACAACACATTTGCAATATATAAGGTTTCTCCAGAGGTGTGTGTCTGTGTGTGTGTGTGTGTGTGTGTGCCACGGCATGCTCATGAATATCAGAGGACAATTTGTAGGAATCTGTTATTTCCTTCCACCATGTGGGTTCTGGGAACCAAACACGTTGTTAGTGTTGATGACAAGTGCCTTCACCTGCAGAACCATTTCTAAAGACCTGACTTGGACACCCTCCCCATAGTGCCAAGGACAATACAACATGTGCCATCAGTGTTCACGGGGGTCACATATCAACTACTCTTCTTGTCTCTGTCTGTGAGCACTCAGTGGCCACAGTGGCATGCTCATCGCATGTCTGCAGCAAATGGGTGCTTTCCAGAACAGAGCTCAGACAACAAGGCCCATTTCTTTCTCGGTAGTGCCCCTTTGAGGTATGCTCCACAAAGTCTCTGAGAGGGTCTACTGAGAGACACCTGGGCACCAGCCCTCCCCCCTCCCCGTGTTGATTTTGTTTCCTTCCCTCCTTATCTCATTTCTCACTGCACTTCCTCGCAAGTGAACCCACTGATATCTTCATCCCAAGCTAAGGCCCAATCAACAGGTGGGAGGGAATCACATAGAGCTTGGTTGTGCCCACACTCAGGTTCTCCCTGCCTGAGCAGGCCCAAGGACTTAGAGACGCTCAACACCAGGTGCTCGGGTGCTTCCTACAGGGGAGCTGCCTTGGGAGAAAGAGAATGGCAAGCAGCCACATGGCTGTGGGCCAAACAGCGGAGCTGCTTTCGAGGACACAACAATCTGTCACCAAAATCCTCCTTCTCAGCCCAGTGGAGTTCTGGACATACCCACAGGCCAAGAGATTAGGAGAAGAAAAAGGGAAATCTAAACCACGTGGCTGCTTAACACTGGGAAAAAGAAGGGCATTATATGACCAGAAAATGGTAGGGGAGGATAGCTAAAGGGTAAGGGGTTTCTTCTTGAGAAGAAAAACATTCAAAATGGGCGCATGGAAGATGTCTCAGTGGGTGAAGCTGCTTCATGTGACCTGAGTTCAAATCTCCAGAGCCCCCATGAATCTGAACATAGCAGCATGAATCTGGATTCCAAGTGCTTCTGCAGAAGGATAGCAGACAGAGACAGGAAGACCCCCAGAGGCCCTTGGACCAGTTACCATGGCACACGTAGCCGTGAACAAAGAGACTCTGTCACAGATAAAGCGGAAAGCAAGAACCAACACATGAGATTGTCCTCTGACCTCTACACATACACTGTGGCAAGCATATGCCCACACTTAAGACACACAAATACGCACACACAGACACACGCATCATACACACACCAAAAAATTAATTATTAAAAGAAAACTCTGATGATGTTTGCAGATAGCTGTGAATATACTAAAATCTGTTGACTTATATATCCTTTCAATGGGATTTGTTTGTTTTTGAGACAGGGTTTCTCTGTGTAGCTCTGGCTGTCCTGGAACAAAGCAAGTAGATCGGGCTAGTCTTGAGCTCACAGAGATCCACCTGCCTCTGCTTCCCAAGTGTTAGCATTGAAGTCATGTGCCACCACACCCAGTGTCAATGGGACATTTTGTGATGTTTTTGAAAATATAAACAATGGAGATAATGAAGTACTTTACCCCTACAACATCTATGAACATAGAGAAGGCAGCGATGAGCCAAGGTCCTTGGCATTGGCCATCATCAACCTGGCCCAGTCCTCCACTTCCCTCCAGCACTAATGCAAACACTTCTCAGGCCTCTCCCTCCAAAGATATCTCCATCTCGCACCATTATGATGACTATGGGGGTCTGCTAGAAGTCAGAAGCAAAATAGAAAGAGGAAAAGGCAGAGTCACACAGTCCTCTCCAAGGTCATGTACCCATCTTAGTTTACTTTCTATTTCTGTGGTAAAATAGCATGACCAAAAGCAACTTGTGGAAAAAAGAATTGATTTGACTCACACTGTCCAATCCTAGCCCATCCTGAAGGAAACTCAGGTCAGGAACTCAAGGCAAGATCCTGGAGGCAGGAACTGAAGCAGAGGCCATGGAAGAGTGCTGCTTACTGGCTTGCTCGCTGTGACTTGTTCGGCCTGCTTTCTGATACAACCTGGGATGCCTGCCCAAGGTGGGCACTGCTCCCACAGTAATCACTGATCAAGAAAGTGCCCCCACAGACTAACCTACAGGGAAATATAATGGAAGTGGTTTTCCAACTAGGTTCCTTCTTCTCAAACAACTCTAGCTTGTGTCACATTGACAAAAAGTGAACCAACCAACTCATCCCCAACTCCCTTAAGGACCTCCCACTAGGTCCCACCTTCTAATTCCACCACCTCCCAAAAGTGCCACCATAGAAACCAAGTTTTAACACATGGGCACTTGAGGGATGGTCAACATGCAAACTATTGCAATATCAAAAAGAAAAGAGAGGTTTGAGTAGATATGTGTATGCCCACATTCATAGTAGCCTATTTCAAGATGCTTAGAGGTAAAAAGCATCATGCAGTGGATTTCTGCTCAGCCTTAGAGCGGAATTAAGTGCTGATCCTAGATACAGCCTGAACAAACACTGAATACATTGTGCCAAGTGAAAGAAGCCAGGAGCAAAAGGACAGATACTAGATGATTCCTCTTTTTAAAGGAAGCAAGAGTATTCAAATTCATAGCTCTGTGGGTGGGAGAGGCTAAGTAAGAAGGGAGCAGGGAGCCGGTGCTTAATGGATATACAATTTTAAAGCTTGACGTTGTGGCTCAGTGGCAGCATGCTTGGCTAACATGCACAAGGCCTAGATCTAATTCCCCCTCCCAGAAAATTTCAACTTTGCAACCTTACACATTTAAAGTTGATTAAAATGTTAAAGTGATGTTATTTATATTTTGCCACGATATGACGAAAGATATGATAAAAGAAATAGGGCGTTGGTGGCGTTCGCCTTTGATCCCAGCACTCGGGAGGCAGAGGCAGGCGGATCTCTGTGAGTTCGAGGCCAGCCTGGTCTACAGAGCGAGTTCCAGGCAGCCAGGCCTATTACACAGAGAAAGCCAAACAAACAAAGAAATGAAAGAAATGCCTCAGCCCCATTCCATTTGTCCTGTTCAGCTTTGTTGCTTTCCTGTCATTGCTGTGCTGTCCCTGACCTTCCATGCATGAACTGTCAGCCATAGTGTGACCTGAACTCTTGCCATACATGTCGTAGGTTGGAGTCCCCTGAAGCAGGATCTGACACAGGGATTCTCCTGCAGTGGATTAATGAGGATGTGCCCTAAGAAGGAAAGAGGGGTGCAGAACAGGGAAGAAGACCCCAAAGAGAAACAGGGGCCCAGCTGAAAGCTCACCTCAGCTTGACCCCATGGGGGGACTCTGGAAGTGAGGGTCCCATGGCTAGCTACCTTGAAGTAGAGTATGATCTCCTACTTTCATACCAGCTACCTTTGGCTGTTGGGCACTATGGAAGAGGAAAAGCCTCACAGGCATTTCCTAGTGGTATTTCCAAACTCCCGTATAACTGAGAAGGCAACAGTCAGGAGACAGGGGCAGCTGGGTGTCCACGACCCCTACCCCGCAACAACGGGAGGATGAATAAAAGGAGGTGTGCATCAGTAACTTCTTCCAAAACCCTTTCGTACAATAAGTGGGACTAGAGCTGCAGCTCAGTGGTAGAACCCCATCTAGCATACCCAAGGGCCTGGGTTTGATTCCCAGTGCTGCAGAAAGCAAGTTCTGGTCCCTATCCTCTTCCTCCAGCCCTGTGCGGGATCTCTGTATGGTGGAAGCAAATGTCATGTTGAGCCCTGTGTCTACAACATGCTTTGTACATCAACCGGCCAATTGGTTTGTCTCCCTCAGGCTCTGCTCCCCATGTGTGAAATAAGGGTGCCAATGAGACAGTTGTAGTGTGATTCAGATTAACCAGGGTGCCGCATATGGAGCTCCCTTCTTCTGCCAGCCCAGCCCACTTATCTTTCATTCAGTCACAGGGGCCTTGCCAACCACAGGATCGCAGGCACTTCTGCCTCAGGAATAGAATTATAGCCTAAGTAGACCAAGCGGGCTTGTCTCTGGGAGTGTTCCAGCTGAGACTGGCAGAGAAGGCCTAAGCCTAAGGACAGACCTCGGCAGATAGAAAGCAGACATTGGCTGTCCAAGTCTGCCAGCATATGGAGGAAATCTGTCTGCCAGAAGACCGGGAGGCCCGAGTAGAGAAGACACAGAGAGGGAGTGTGAAAGGACCTGGCCCACGTCCTTTGTATCCTAGATCACATCCATGACCAGCTCCATTGCTCCACGTCTCAGGTACAGGGAGAAATAAATTCTGTTTTTCTCTCAGTTTACTGGAACCGGATTCCTCCCACTTGCAAACAGAAGACAGATGACTAGTCTAAGGAGTGTCTGCCTTGCAGGGCTGTGGTGAGATTTAAATAAAGTAGTGTGTACAGAAGGACGTTTCTAATAATGGCCATTGTAATTCTTG